CCCGAGCGCCCGGCGCCCCCTCCCTGGGCGGGGCCCACTGCGCGGCAGGTGGAGGTCCGCACGGGAGGGAGCGGGAGGTCCCGCCGCACCCCAAACTCCGCCCCTCCCCGGGAATTAGAGGGGGCGCGCGGAGGCTCGACTTGGGGTGTCTGCGGCTGGCTGTGCGTCGGTGCCTGTCGCCCCGCCACTCGCCCCCTTCCCCGGCGTCCAGGTCCTGGTTCCCGGCAGGTGCCGCTGCACCTGGGGCAGGTGCCTGGCGCGGGGCCCCGGGAGGGGAGAAGGCCGCCGGCCTGTGCCCCTCCCCCGCACAACAGAGCTCCAGCGCCCCCACCTCCGGACTGAGCTTTACGGTGGTCCCGACGCCACCAGATTGGCACCTGTTGGCGGAAGTGCCCGAGTCACCTCATTAGGTCGGGGGACGAGGACCCACACGGCCATCCTCCGGGCTGCCAGGTGGAACCTTGTCCCAGGTGGGGAGTGTCCAGGTCAACAGACTGGGGATTTTCTGCTACCTGGCATCCTACCTGGGCATGGGTGACAGGACTGGGTCACCCCCACACACACACAGAGGCGCAGGTGACTGTCACCGACCTGCCGCCCAGCCAGGCTCTCCCTGTGCCACCTTGTGGACATCACGGCCCTGGACTCACCTTCCCCATCTGTGACAAGCAGGGCCAGGGTGACTTCTGACCTTCTGTGGTTCAGTGCCCCAGTCTGAGACGTGTCCTGTGCCTGTAGTGCCCCTGATAGTGCCTCACTGTCCCTCCGTCGTGTGGTTGCCATGTAACTGGGTTCTCGTCTCCTTCTGCACCTGCCTCCACCCCCTCTGTGTCTCCCCCGTGACCCCCTGTCCCCCGCCCCAGTCCTGCTGATGGCCTGCCAGCCTTGCCGAGGAGCTGGGCGTATCTGGTGTTGCCGATCACGCAAGGTCAGACCTTGGGGCTGGTGAGGGCCGGGGTCCCTGCGTCTACCTCGGCCCTGGGGGGTGCTGTGCAGGATTCCCCCGGCACATGCATGCACTTGGTGGGTACGAGACATGACCTGGACCGAGGCTGTGATTCCTGGAGCCGGGCTGGACGCGCACCCTGGCCCCCTTTCCCATCTCTGGCTTGCTCTCTTCTCCCCTCCTGATCATCTTTTTCTCGTGCCTGCTTGGGCCTGCTACCCTGTCCCTCTGTCTGTCCCGACGTGTGCCTGTCTGTTCTGTGTCCAGCAAACGGATGTCCTGTCCAGATTCCGGAAACGCCCAAAGCATTGAAATCTCCGGACGTGGGGGTCTAGGTCCCTGGCCGCTCTGGGAAGAGGGGGATTCTGGGAGGTGGGCCCTCTGGACCTGGGGTCTCCTGCTTCGTGGTGGGAGAGGAGGAGCAGGGATCCTCCAAGGCTGGGCTAGGCCCCTGATTCATGGGTTCGCCTTGCTGGCCCTCAGGTGACCCCTGCCCTCTGGGCAGGAGTGAGTCACCCAAGGGAAGAGAACACAGGAGGCTGGGCCTCCCTCTCTCCCTCCCTGCTCTGTGTATTTTCAGGCCTCCCCTCTCAGAGGTGGGGCGGGGGAGCCTGCTCCTGCTCTCCGCCTGGGCTTCCCCTGTTTGGGCTGGCCCTGCTAATGGCTGTACCCCTGCTCTGCCTGCTGGGGCCTGGTGGGGCTGGGCAGTGGGTGGGGCCTGGTTGGGAGGGGGTCGTATTCTGTGAACCTGGGTTTACATTCCAGCACTGCCCCTTCCTCGCTGTGTGTCTTGGGCCCAGTGCCTTTGCCTCTCTGAGCCTCAGTTCTGCCCTCAGAAAAATGAGGCTACGCAAGTGTTCACGGGAGAGAGAGACCGAGATGCAGACAGCGCTCTGCCGGTGGCGGTGCTGTGAACTCCTGACTAGTGGTCCTGGTCCGCAGCCCAGGGGGTGATCTGTGTCCTTTAATCCAGGGTTTCCCAGCCTCGCGCTGTTGACATCTGGGGCTGAATCATTGAGGTGGGGCGTCCTGTGCACTGTAGGATGTTGAACAGCATCTGTGGACTCAACCCTGTAGATGCCAGTAGCATCTCCCCACCCCCAGTTGTGACACCCCAAAATGTCTCTGAATGTTGCCAGATGCCCCCAGAGGTGGGGGGCAAAATCCCCGCCTTGGGAACCGCTGTTGTCACTTCTGAGCCTGTTTCCTCATTGTAAAGTGGGGGAGAATCCTGGCAGCTGCTTGGGGTTGATGGGGGGTCGGCAGGCTCGTGGGAGTGCAGCTCTCGGCCTGCAGTAGCCCCCCCGGGGCAGCTCTCCCAGGGTTGGTAGGGAGCCAGGGCAGACTCTCCTAGTCCCGGACGTGGGTTCACAGCGGAGGGCAGTGACGTGGGGCACTCAGCCGGCACTCACATGCTGGGCCCTCCTGTCGTAAATCGCAGCCCTTCCTGCTGGCCGTGGGACCTCGGGGCCAGGACGTCACCGTGCCAGGCCTCAGTTTATAGCGAGAGCCTGCACCTCATGGGCTTGCGCTATCGCCCTGGGTGCAGCTTGTAACTGCTACTCTTATTGGCAGCCGTCCTTGAGCTTCAGTGGGCCGCCGCTCTGGGGGCGCCCTTGCCCCAGCCCTCCAGCGCTGTCCCCTCGTGACGCGGGCCCCCTAGGCCTCCAAGCTGTGGTCAGCAGCCTCGGGTGACCCGACTGAGAGGAAAGCGGAAGTGGGGACGGCTTGCATCTGCGGGAAGGGGGTTGACCCGTTAAGCGCTCGTGGGTGTGTGCATATCAGTGTATACGGGGTAGGTGTGGGCTCTGCAGACACTCACCAGCCTGTGTCCCGTGGACATGCCTGTAGGTCTGTGGGAGTGTGTGCACTCCGAGTCAGCCCTGGGCCTGTGGACACTCGGGGAGCTGCTCTCCACGTCCAGATTGCTGGGCATGAGTGTGTGTGTGCCGTGGGCACCTCGGGCATCCCTGGGTTGCCTCTGGGGAAGCAGTAAGCAGTTCGGCCCTGGAGTGGTGCTGAGAAGAAGGCCCCTTAGATGCCCCAGAGCTGGCCCCGCGCAGTGGGTGCTGGGAGCTGGCAGGAAAGAGGAAGTGGCGGGTGGGGGGCCCTGGCAGGCCAAGGCTCAGGAAGAGGGCGGGGCCCTCCGCGGGACCCAGGATGGCGGAGGCTGGTCCCGCTTCAGACCCGGAGCTGGAGGTGGGCGCTGGGTCCTGTGGGGGGCTGGCCGAGGGGGACCCCCAGTGGCACGGGCGTGACGCCTTGCCCTCAGTACCTCTCGGTCCTGGAGCTAGGGGAGGAGACAGGGCTCTGGCCTTGGAGTTCTCTGTTTGGATGATGAAACTGTTTGGGGCCATTCGGGACCCGCGGGTGAGGGAGATGGAGGAGGAAGGAGACAGGGCTCTGCTCTTTAGGGTCCCAGTTGTAGAGGATGAGAGGAGGGGAGACAGGGCCTGTTCCTGGGACCTCCTAGTTTGGTGGTACAGCAGAGAGGAGAAGGGGCCTGCTCTTGGGACCCAACCCATGGTTTGGGGGGGCAGCAGAGGCCTGCCCTCGATACTTCCTTGTTTGGGGAGCAGCAAGGGGAAGATGGGGTCTGCCCTGGGACCTCCTAATTTAGGGGACAGTGGAGGGTAGATGGGCCCTACCCTTGGGGCCTTCTACTTTGGGGCAGCAGAGGGGATAACGTCTGCCCTCGGGACCTCGTCATTTGGGGGGGCAATGGAAGGGAGACAAGGCCTGTCCCCAGGGACCCCTACTTTGGGGGGCACAGTGGTGGGACCATGGGGCCCGTCCTCCATAAGGAACGGATGAAGGGAGACAGGCCGGTGCCTATGGGGTCCCCTAGTCTGAGGAGACAGGGAGGGAAGAGGGCCCTCGCAGGTTGGGGGAGTCGGGGTCAGAGACGGGGACTGGTCTCCCCTCCCCGTTTTGGGGGTGAGGACGTGGAGCAGGCCTTGTCTGGGGAGTCGGGGAGACCGGGTTGGCCGAGTGCGGTCTGCACCCCGTGCCGGCCCCTGACGCCGCCTCGTCCCCGCAGAGCGAGCCTCGCAGCTGGTCCCTGCTGGAGCAGCTGGGGCTGGCGGGCGCGGACCTGGCGGCCCCCGCGGCACAGCAGCAGCTGGAGCGGGAGCGGGAGCGGCTGCGGCGCGAAATCCGCAAGGAGCTGAAGCTGAAGGAGGGCGCCGAGAACCTGCGCCGGGCCACCACCGACCTGGGCCGCAGCCTGGGCCCCGTGGAGCTGCTGCTGCGCGGCTCTGCGCGCCGCCTGGACCTGTTGCACCAGCAGCTGCAGGAGCTTCACGCGCACGTGGTGCTGCCCGAGCCCGCGGCGCGCGGTGAGCAGGGCTTGGGGGCGGGCGGGCTCCTCTGCCGCGGGCTCGCCTCAGTCCCGAGGACACACTCGGGCACCACGGCGTGGAGCCTCCACACAGCCTCAGAGCCAACCCCAAGCCACCCCCGGAGACAGGCGCACACGGTGACGTCAACACCAGACGACCCCCAGAGACTCTTGCGTGTGGTCACACCAGCCCAGCCCCCAGAGATTCACACACACAGCTGCCCGACCCTTACAGATGTACACTGTCCCGTCTACAGCCAGGGACTTACACGCACAATCAGACAAGGCCTGGACGCAACACCACTTGCACCAACACCCTACACCACCTAGGTGTGTCGACAGCCGACACCAGCACTGTCGCGTCAGCCCTCGGAGACAGAGAGAGAGTGCAGCCACCACCCAGAATCCCACACAGTCACATCTGCACCCAGGGACTCACACAGAGCCGTGCCACCATGCGGAGACACGCTGTGCCGACGCCTGACGCTCACACAGTCACACCAGCGCCTAGAGATCTGAATGCACACTTGTGCCGACAGGCAGAAACACATGCATAGGGTCACCCCGGCACCCAGAATCTCACAGTCATTCTAACATAGGTGTCTCGAGTAGTGACATGAGCACCCAGGGAAACACATGCTTGCTCAGTCAGGCCAACGCTCTGCGGGGCACAGACATAACCGCACTCACACCTACGACTCCCACGCAGCTGTGTGAGAAGTGGGGGGCTTCTGTACACAGACACCAACACCAAGGGCTCACGCTCGCCTGGACACTGCCCGCTCACTCATGCAGGTCCTGTCCCAGCCCCGAGGGGTGTCCCCGGGAGGGGTGGTGGTTGGAACCCCTGGGCCCTGGCCCCCGGCTCCTTCCCCCACCCCAGGGCAGAAGCCAGGCCGGGCAGAGGGCAGATCGTCTCAGCTCGGCAGAGCCTCCCAGGCAGATGGAGGTGAGGGCCGCGGTGACTCTGTCCCACTCGCCTGCCAGATGTCCCCCAGCCCCCCGGGACGGGCGGCTCGGCCTGCTCGGCCGCCAGCCTGAGCCGCGTGGCCGGCCTGGAGAAGCAGCTGGCCATCGAGCTGAAGGTGAAGCAAGGGGCGGAGAACATGATCCAGACGTACAGCAACGGCAGCACCAAGGTGGGCCGGCATCCCTCCACGCGCACATCCCAGCAGGGCGGGCACAGAGCGCCGCCCACGGCTGCCCCATGGGAGGCCGGGGACAGAGCGGCTGGGTGACTGAGAGGCAGGACCGGGGTGCGGGCGGCTCGTGGGGGCGTGTGGGCAACAGCGTGACTGTGGGTGATATCAGACACACTGCAGAGACTGTCCCCTGACAGTCACTCAGTCGCCCCCAGGCTCGAGGGTGTCCACGCTCAGGGCAGCAGGAGGCCTCTCCCCGCTAGGGGCGTCTGACCCGTGCACAGGGTCGGGTCACCACCTACATGCACACATGCCGTCATCCTCGAATCTGGAGACACCCCCGCGAGTCGTGTCAACACCTAGACACACGGACCATTACATTCACACCAGCCACTGGAGTGGCCACACGGACGCCACACGCCCCGGTCACCCACACCAGGACACACGGGTCTACACCGACCCAGAGCTGCTCACGGACAGGCACGGTCAGACCCGCTGTGGGGAGGGCGCCCCTGCTCGAGTGCGCACAAACGGGGATGTTGTGCGGAGGGCGGACCCTGCCGATGACTTTATAATCTTCCATTGAGGTGCACTGTGCGGATGTAAAGTGCTGGAAACTTCTTTGTGCAGCCTGGTGAAGTTGACCTGCTGCATGCCACCCACGTTAGAATAGAGACCGTTCCAGTCCCCCAGCAAACTCCCCCCGCCCCTCAGTCCGTCAAAGCTTCTGTCACCACAGATGAGCTGTGCCTGGTTTTGAGACACAGCACGAAGGGGATGGAAAAGCCACAACCCATTTCCGGCATCTGTGACATGCGGGGTCCCGGGCTATGCCTGTCACCTCCGCACTGTGAGCTGCACACCCATGTCTGGACCCTGCCTACCGCAGACCGACTCACACACATGGCTGCAGGGCCACACCCACCACGGGCACACTCACCCACATGTACACCAGGCTGGCAGCTGACACATACAGGGCCTGCTGGCGCCAGGTGCGGCCTGAGCACTACACACAGATTAGCTCCCTCAGTCCCCAGCCCGATGGGGAGCGGCGCCGCTAGTGCTGCCGTTCCTGCAGATGAGGAAACAGGCCCAGAGAGGTTGAGGGGCTTGCCCGAAGGCACACAGCTGTTACATGGCAGAGCCAAGATCTAAACACTATGGGCTACATCTCCCCTCTACACCCGGGAACACGTGGATGCACGTGCTGTTGCGCCCACACGCGAACACGGCCACACAGGCGCCCGGGGCCTGCACGGTGTGGTCAGACCCCAGCCGCCCCACCTTCCCCTCATGGCCCGTCTGTGCCTCCAGGACCGGAAGCTGCTGCTGACAGCCCAGCAGATGCTGCAGGACAGCAAGACCAAGATCGACATCATCCGCATGCAGCTGCGCCGGGCGCTGCAGGCCGGCCAACTGGAGAGCCAGGCCGCCCCAGACGAGGCCCAAGGTGAGCCCTCGCCCTGAGACAGCCCAGCGTGCACTCCACCTTGCAGAGCCGGCTCCCAGGCCTGTGTGGGGTCCCTTTCTGAGGCAGGGAGGTGGGTGCTGCGACTCCCTGTGTGACTGGAACCCATTCCTGAGCCTCTCTGGGCCTCACTTTCCTATTTTGCCCCATTTGAGGTTTGTACCAGATCAGGTATCGGCAAACTACAGCCCACGGGCTGACTCCAGCACTGCTCTTTTTGTTTTGGTAAGTGAGTTTATTGGTGCGCGGCCACGCGCATTCACTATCACCTAAGGCTCCTTTTGTGCTGCAGCAGCAGCGCTGAGCGGTGGCAACAGTGCCCGTGTATTCTGAAAGGCCAAAACTATTTTCTCTGGCTCTTCCTGAAAAAGATTGCAGACCCCCGGACTAGGTGCTTGCCTTGTCACGTTGGCCCCCGCTGTGTGGAACTGTGGGTGTCCACAGCGTGTGTGTCTCTGTGAATGAAGGCCTGGGCGGGTCTTAACCTGATTGTCAGCCTGCGTTCGTGACGGGGTCTTGGTGTATCGTGTGCCGGGGTGACTGTGTCTGTGTGCCAGTGTCGTGTGACCTTGCCTGGGGCCCAGGAATGGCGTGTGTGCCCTGGCGACCAGGGTCGTTGATGTGTCACCGTGAGAGAGAGCAGTGTCGGCTGTGGGTGGGTGTCAGTGTGTTGCCACTGCTCTAACAGAGGCACGGGCTGGGGGCTCATAAACAACAGACGTTTATTTCTCACACTCTGGAGGCTAAAAGTCCAAGATGTAGGCGCTGACAGATCCCGTGTCTGGTTCACAGACGCCGTCTTCACACTGTGTCCTCACGTGGTGGAAGGGATAGGCGAGCTCTCTGGGGTCCCTTTTATAAGGGCACTGATCCCATTCACGAGGGTTCTCCCCTTGTGACCTCGTCACCTCCCAGAGGCCCCTTCTCCTAACACCAGCACATTGGGGGTTAGGCTTCAAAATATGAATTTGGGGAGGACGCAAACATTCAGATCATAGCAGTGGGGCTTGTAACTCAGATGACAACATGTGCGTCTTTGTGGGGGAGATAGCAGTGTGACCCTCCATGTGATTGCACAAGTGTGACGTGAACACCCATGCGGGCTTCTCAGTGACAGTGTGTGGTGGTCTGATCACGTCCCTGTGCCTCTGGGCGACATTGTAACCTTGGGTGACAGTGTGACTGTCTGTGACTGAGTGCCAGGGTCTGAGGCTCGGTCATTATACAGGACGGTGAGACCGTCCCTGGAACCTACAGCCATGGATAAGTGTGACCATGACCTTGTGCCTCTGGGTGATAGTATGTCCTTGTACATGTCCCTGTGTCACTGGGTGACTGTGACCTTGTGCCATTGGGTGACTGGCCATGTCTTGTGTTGGGCCCTGGCTGTGACCCTGTGACTCAACACTGGATGTGACAGCCAGTCTGTTTCCCTGACACATTGGGTCTCCTGCCTGTGTGACAGTGTGATGGCATTTCTTTGCCTGTCCCCATGCCTTATATGTGTGGCAGTGTGATTATGTTCCTGTGATTCTTCCTGGGCTGGACTTAGAGCCCTGGGAGTTTTGCCAGTGTGACTGTGTCCCATAGGGTGTTCATGTCGTGTGACCATGTCCCTCTGCTCCTGTGACAGTATCCCTTTGCCTAGGGGGGTGACAAGGCATGTGTCTGTGTAATATCCACCTCACCCTTGTGACAATGTCCCTGTGTGGCAGTGTGACTGCATCTTTGTGAGAGTGTGTGTTCCTCTGCCTGTGAGTGACAGCGTGCCTATACTGGTGACAAAGTGACAATGCTGCTGTCACCCTGTGACAGTGTGACGATGTCCCCATTCCCTCAACTGCATTGTATTTCATTGCGTGGATGGTCACCATTCATTTACCCAGACCACTACTGGAGGAAATTCGGTCGTTTCTAATCTTTTGCTCTTAAAAAGAAGGCTGCAGTTGGGCCGGCTCCGTGGCTTAGCGGTTAAGTGCGCGCGCTCTGATGCTGGCGGCCCGGGTTCGGATCCCGGGTGCGCCCCGAGGCACCGCTTCTCCGTCCAACGTGAGGCCGAGTCCCACGTACAGCAACTAGAAGGATGTGAACCTATGACATACAACTATCTACTGGGGCTTTGGGGGGAAAAAACTGAATAAATAAAATCTTTAAAAAAAAAAAAAAAAAAAGAAGGCTGCAGTGGATAACGGGGTCCACATGTGGATGGCAGAGGTGTCTCTAGGGGATAAAGCCCCTGCACTGGGATTGCTGAATCAAAGGGTGAATGCATCTGCGACTGGATAGAGAGGGCCAAACCACCTCCACTGGAAGGCAGCTTGTGTTCCCATCAGCAATAAATAAAGGTTACTGTGAAGGTTTTTGTGTGTGTGTGTGTGTGTGTGTGTGCGCGCGCGCGAGGAAGATCAGCCCTGAGCTAACGTCCATGCCAATCCTCCTCTTTTTGCTGAGGAAGACTGGCCCTGGGCTAACATCTGTGCCCATCTTCCTCCACTTTATATGAGACGCCACCACAGCATGGCCTGACAAGTGGTGTGGCCATGTGCGCCCGAGATCAGAACCTGGGCTGCCGCAGCAGAACACATGCACTTAACCACTACGCCATGGGGCCAGCCCCTGTAAATGTTTTTTAAAGTGCCCCTGTGTTTGACTGTATCCTTGTGGCTGTCCCGTTGCCTATAGTGTCCCGGTGACAGTCCCTGGGGATGACGTGGGACCCTGACAAAGTATCTGTCCCTAAGCCTGTGTTCACAGTGTGCCTATATATACGACTGTTCCTCTGTGACAGCCTAACTATGTCCCTGGGACCATCCTGTGGGTGACAGTGCGACTGGGAGACACGTGATGCATGGCGGTGGCGGTATGTCTGTGGCCGGTGCCTGTTCCTGCAGGTGGCTGCGTGTCTGGGGCCCGGCTGGTTGGACCTGTGCCCCAGGCTGGCCTCACTGCCTCGCGTCCCACACCCACAGGGAGTCCGGACCTGGGGGCCGTGGAGCTGCGCATTGAGGAGCTGCGGCACCACTTCCGAGTCGAGCACGCGGTGGCCGAGGGCGCCAAGAACGTGCTGCGCCTGCTCAGTGCCGCCAAGGCCCCGGACCGCAAGGCGGTCAGCGAGGTGAGGGGCGGGGCCTCGGGGCAGGGGCGGGGCCTCGGGCAGGGGCGGGG